TGTTTTATTCATTTACAAACTTTCAGTTGCATCTACTTTTGCTTGCATGACCTCACCTCTTTGCATCTACTTTTTGCTGGGCCTGTATTTTCTTTTCCTTAGACTGTGTCAGTTAGAAGTCATTTTAGTTCCAAACAATGTTTTCTGCCAGATGAAGTGTCAGCAATATCTGCCAACCCGGATGAGAGGGTTGTGGATTTGCAGGGAGAAGCTCCTAAGGTTCTGAAAGCTCTAGAAGCTGTGGTAGGACACCTGAGGAAGTTTTTGGTAGACCGTAGCGTTCTTCCTCTGTTTGAAAAGACTGTGAGTAATTGTCAGTTTCCATTTGGTTACTACAGCATCATTTCTATGAATAACAGCAAACTGCCTTGTACAGAACAATGTAGCAGCTACACAAGAACACCAAGTGGAGACATGGGCTGACAAACCCATGATGCGTTCTGGCTCACAGCATGGAATAGGAGGTGATTATTCTCTTCCAGTGAGGAGGGAAACTCTATTTCTTGACCGTGAACCCCAACGAGAATCACAATTTTCATCCCATGGACTTTCATTGTATGGTCGTGATCCTGGGCTACCCACAACTCGTTCTCCTGCACTTGGTCGTACGGGTGGTCCTATAGTAACTCAGGTCAGCAGTGATATTTGTTCATTTTCTGTTTTTGACTCTCACCAAAATGATCTCAGGTCAGCAGTGATATTACTTGAACTAGCCAAAGACAAATGCACGGAAATTTTCAATTGGTCAAAATTTGCACTATAAATTGTCAGAAGTTATCTCAATCAACGCTTTTACATTGATAATTTTTCAAAGACAATATATTGTGGAACACCTTAGTTTAAGACAGCAGGAGGCGTAACTCACAAGTGTCCATGCTTAAGTTCAAAGTAAGAGTTATAGGAGACTGGTGAACCTAGTGTAGGATTAGTGGTCCCAACTTTCTGCCAGTCTTCTTTATAAACAGACAATTGGCTATCTTGGTAAAAGTAAAGAATATGTATACAATCTGAGACTAAATACAGTTTTTCAATATTTAGCAACCTAATTGAACATTGCTTGGTGTTTTTATTGTGTTCTGATTTTATGAAAAATGGAACTTAAACTTCCCTACGGGCTGTAGTAGTTATTTCACAATTGGAGGAGGTGTGTGGACACTGGACCAAACCGTTGCTACAACAAATCTTGGAAGAATCTTGTGTGTGAGAGTGGGGATTTGTGGACTATAGGTTTTATCAGCAATAAATGATTCTAATTAATTATTTTTGTGTACGTTAACTAGATAGCTCAAACGATGCAAATACCACTAGTTTATGCTGAGGATATCATTGGAGTTGGAGGGACAAATATTGCTTATATTCGTAGGACTAGTGGTGCAATTCTTACTGTACAAGAGAGCAGAGGGCTACCAGACGAAATTACAGTTGAAATAAAAGGGACATCATCACAAGTTCAGACAGCTCAACAACTTATTCAGGTAAGACGGAACATTTCATGTTGTTTTTCGTTATACACATACATACATACATAAGCTGATGATAGTGATTAGTAAAATGAAGATGTTCAAGGGAAAACCCCCAAAAAATGAAAAACTTAGAACATCATAATAACCATTCATCTCTATGGTATGGTATGCACATGTGCATACAAGTAACTAAAGACGTTTCATGGTTTCTATGCATGTGTGCGTACCATATAGATGAATGATTATTAGGGTGTTTCTTAGTTTTTCAACTTTTTGTGGTTTTCCCTCGAACCTAACCCTATATACATGTCTATTTGTGTATGTGTGTATGTGTATGTATGCATGGGCATGTCTAGTTTCTGCTGGGCATATATCTTTTTTTTGTTGGCCAAGGGCTAATATGGTGATTATTAAACTTTCCTTGTTCTTTCACTTGCCTAGCTAAACAAAAATTAATCAGAAAACCATACGACTTGCGTAATGTCTATCCCAGTGTCACCCAGATCAATAACTTCAAGTTAAGTTTGAAGTAGTAAATCAATTGAAAGGTCATTGCTTGTAAATAGCATATTACCATCAACTCTTGGGAACTCAATTTGATGAGATCTAACCTCAATTCAACAGAGATAATATAACTTGTATAGTTACGAGAACTTAAGCATGCGTTTGGTAAATCTTTTTGTTAGAAGTGGAGAAAATTAGAGAAATTCCGTGAATGAGTATATATGTCTTCTATCTGTTTGAGAGGAGAGAAAAGGGGGACCAGACTGTACCTAAATTCAATTATTACGCAGGAATGTGTAAATGGGCACAAAGAATCAATTCCAAGCAGCTATGGGAAGATGGATTCAGGTTTGAGGTCTTCGTACTCGCAAATGGGGGGAAATTCATCTTACCAATCATCATCAGCTTATGGCGGGCAATCGTATGGCGGGGGCTATGGAGGCTCTGGTTTAGGAGGATACAGTAGTTACAGGATGTGAAATGTACCACAACATATTTGAAGCTTTGTTTTTCTATAAACCTATTTCAAATGTATCCTTTATAAAGCTTTGATGAGTTGTTCATGCTTTTTGTTTCATTGACATTGACATAGGTAGTAGTAGCAGTAAAGGCAAGAAAGAGAGAAAGAAAGAGAGAAAGCTTTATGAAATCTATCCTTCTTCCTTCAAGAGTTGTTAGGTTGTTCTTCTATTATGCTTCGTATGTTAAGTTAAATTGATGTTTTTATTTATTATGCTGAAAAAACTGTCTGAATGGCATAAATGACTATTTTACCCCTTATTGTTTGTTTCTTTTTGTCTCATCTAGGGTAATGGCATAAATGACTATTTCACTTTTCATTGTTTGTCTCATCTAGGGGAATGGTTCCATTGGTTTGCACCATTTCAGGTCATTTGGCATAGACCCATGCTCATATGCAACGAACTGAGCTTGCTATTCATCAGGATGGGTTCGATCACCCTACCAAAAACATGCATCCCATCTCCAAACTAGATCCAACTGCAACCTGGCGTTTTCTTGACGTTTTGTTGCCTCATATTATGTCTCACATCTGACCCCTCATGATACCTACCCATTGTGCCATAGACATTAGACATCAACACGTAGCTCCCATTCAAGATCAATCACTTTTCTTGCAGCAATTTTAGCAAGATTTGCATCGCCACGGAGATGGCATGCCGCTAAGAACGCTTGCCAGACCACCGAGTTGGTCTTGAAGGGCATTTCTGATAGCAAGCCGTAGGCTTACTCAAGAAGCCCAGCTCGGCCAAGCATATCAATTACACAAGTACAATGTTTGACCATTGACACTATATTGTATCTTGACTGCATCTAGCTAGGAAATTATTGCCCTTCCTTTACTAGATCTCCATAGTTGCAGCCTGATAGAACACCAACGATTGTCACCTCATCGGACTTCATATGCATCACACATTTTGCAAAATATGCTCAGTGCCTCGTGGCCAAACCTGTGCATTACGTATCCCATGATCATGATGTTGCATGAAGCCGAATCTTTGATGGTCATGATATAAAATCCAGGATTTTTGTTTAGCGGGACCACCTTTAAGGTAGACTAAAGACCCGTAAAATCGTCCGATATGTTTTTAACCTAATTACAACGTTTTCGAGGGAATTTTAAAGTTTATTGGTTTATTTCGAGGGATTTTTTAGTGTTTTTTGTCGATTTCGAATAACTTTTTTGGTTTTTTTGATTGATTTCAACAGATTTTTTTGGTTAGAGTAACAGTTTCGATTGGGGTTGGGGCCCGTGGAAAAATGTAATGGGAGGAAGTAAAAAGTAAATAATGTAAAACCTAAATTTTAACCTATAATTTTCTTTTGAGTTTTTGACTGGTCCCCCCTTGTATATATAGTAATGGTAACCCTCACAATTGATTTAGCTTACAAAATTCAAATCTTTAACGATAATAATTCTATGACAAGATTCTTGTATGACCATCCTTTTTGCAAGACAATTCAATGAAATGACATGCATGATCATCCTTTTTACAAGACAATCCAATGACATACATGGTCATCTTTTTTAAGTAACACATATTCTTTTAGCTGAATGACAAACAAGGACAAGATTCTCTTTTATTTTATTTATATACATACATGTACCTGCAAACTTCAACACAAAAACCTATCTTTGTTACCAATGACATGCACGGTCATTCTTTTTAAGAATTAGCATCAAATATATTTGTTACCAATGACATGCATGATCATCTTTTTTGAGAATTAGCTTCAAATATATTTGTTACCAATCCTTTTATTATTCGTACAAACTAAAGAACGACTTCATGATGTAATACGTTATCGATCAACAAAAATAACCAAGTAATCCATGGAGGCTCAGTACCCGGACGTTCTTTCATCCCCTGTGATCGAGAAAGTGCACATTGTAGATTATTCAACAATTACCTTTTAGAGACCCCTCTATATAATGATGTCATGCTTCTTCGGAGATATCGAATGTCTCGGTCATTGTTCTTTCGTTTTTGTTGATGAAGTTGCTTCTCATGATAAGTATTTTACACAATGCACAGATCAATTTGGGAGACTCGGATTATCGCCTCTTCAGAAAGTAACAACTGTGATCTGGATGCTTGTACAGGGTCAACCAACAGATGCCGCTGACGAATATGTTAAAATAGGTGAATCAACATCAATTGAAAGTCTGAAAAGATTTTTTCGAGCTATAGTGGAAATATTTTCAGAACAATAATTGAGATCAGCAACTTCAAAAGATGTTGCAAGACTTCTCTATGTCAATGAAAAGAGGGTTTTCTAGGAATGTTGGGAAATTTAGATTGTATGCAATAGAAATGGAAAAATTCTCCAATCGGGTGGGCTGGACAATTTTCGGACCGTAGTGGATCACCATAGATTATTCTAGAAGCAGTCGCAGATTATGATCTTTGGATATGACATGCTTATTTTGGTTTTCAGGCACTAAATATCAATGTGTTGGAGTCTTCTCATCTTTTCTCCAATCTTGCTCAAGGTATTGCTCCTCGTGCTCATTATGTCATTCAAGGAAAAGAATATGATACACGTTATTATTTAGCTGATAGTACATATAAAAAAATGGGTCACTATAGTACAAACAATTCACGAGTCACGTGGTAAAAAAAACTTTGTCATGCAACAAGAAGCCAGTAGAAAAGATGTAGAACGTGCCTTTGGAGTTCTCCAGTCACACTTTGTAATTGTGGCAGGATCGTCCTAATTTTAGAAAAAAGAAGTGTTACATGACATAATGGCTACATGTATTATTTTACATAATATGATAATCGACGACGAACGTGATCTCGATGCGCCGATTGAAGTTGTGAGAGAACTACCACCAATAGAGGTCGAAATGATGACAAATGATAATGATGGATTCCAACAATATGTTGCTCGATATAGAAATTAAGAATAAAGAAGCTCACTTTGCACTTCGGAATGCGTTAGTTGATCACATATGGGAAAAATATGCTAATTCCGATTGAGAGCGACAACTCTTACCACGGTAAGCGCTTACCGAGTAAATTGTTGCATACGATGCCGTTTTGGTGGACTAAAATCTTACTCAGTAAGTAAATAATAGTGTTAAATTTTACCAATAAACACTTACCGGGTAAGTATTTGGTAGACAGCGCCTAAGTAAATAATCCGGGTAGATTTTGTGTTTGAAATTAGTGACGATATAGACCTTGATTACAAAGTTGTCAACCTCATCTTCTATTCAGCTATCAAAAACACAATACAAAATGTTCAGATAAAATCAAATTTCATCAATTTATATTAGATTTTTATTGGATAAACAAAAGATAAAGAAAAACCTTACCAGACACCACTTCCATTCAAAGAAAATAGTTTTTTTAATTTTAATGAATTAAAATTACATGATGCAATTCTTACTGTGCAAGAAAGCAGAAGTCTACCAGATTAAATTACAGTTGAAATAAAAGGGACATCATCACAAGTTCAGACAGCTCAGCAGCTTATTCAGGTAAGACAGGAACATTTCCTCTTGTTTTTCGCTATACACATACATACATACATAAGCTGCTGAAGATGATTGGTAAGATGACGATGTTCAGGGGAAAACCTTAAAAGATGAAAACTTAAAACATCTTATGCATATCTGCATACAAGTAATTGAAGATGTTGGTTTCTATGCATGTGTGCATACCATTCAAATAGTAGTTAAAAGGATGTGGAATCTACCACAAAATATTTGAAGCTTTGTTTTTCTATAAACCTATTTCATCATTCATTGTTTGTTTCTTTTTTATACTAAACTGTCTGAATGACACAAATGACTATTTGTTGTGCTGAATAAACTGTTTACCGAATTTGTAGAACAAAATTTAAATTAGGACTGACCGAATTGAATGCCATAAGCAGTCTCGTCTAGGGGAATGGTTCCACAGTTTGCACCATTTCAAGTCATTTGGCATAAACACATGCTCATATACAACGAACTAAGCATGCTATAAATCAATTCTTCATCAGGATGGGTTCGATCACCCGTCCCAAAAACGTGCATCCCATCTCCAAACTCGATCCAACTGCAACCCGGCGTTTTCTTGACGTTCTGTTGCCTCATATTATGTCTCACATCTGACACCTCCTGATACCGACCCATCATCCCATAGACATTAGACATCAACAC